ACTGTTCTGGTTAAGCTGGTGTGTGTGGACATTTATCAGGCCAGTCCATACATTTTGTAACTTTGATCCTATAGGCTTTTATAATACAACTTTATCAGAAGGCTAAGCCTAACTCTGGCTCTATAATTCCATGATCCCATTCTCCCTGTGTGTCTTTTCATGATGCTGATACTCCCTTTTCCACAACATTTCCTAATGTTTGGTGAAAGTTGTGTCCACTTGGTTCGCCTAGTGTATTCAGTTACGAGATAGATGCACAGGTCACAAATCAGAAATCTATTTCTAAATTCCTGTCTCTTATGGTCATTGAATGTCTTCCTCTATTATACTAAGGAATTTCTAGCATCACAAAGCACTGAGTTGAGGTTCTAGCTAACTGAAGGAGTGATGAATTAGAATAAATTACAGCTTCTAGGTCAGCTTATTGAATTGATACTCCAGTAAGTACAATAATCAGCCTATTCAAAATTATATTTTTCTTTACTTAATGTAGGTTATCGGAATTCATACCCACACATATTATCTAGCAATGTATCAATAAAAATGAACAGTATCTTGGAATTCTTTAGTGTTTAAGCTTCTCCCTTGTAATTGCTCTTCTTTTATTTTTTAATATTTATTTGAGACAGGGTCTCACTCTATCACCCAGGCTGGAGTGCAGTGATGCCATATGGCTCACTGCAACCTCCGCCTCCTGAGTTCAATTGATCCTCCTACCTTAGCCTCCCCAATAGCTGGGACTACAGGCATGGCTCATCTTCATCAGATTTATTAGAGACAATAAAATGTAGTAAGAACAAGCCATGGTGTGAGGTTATTTCAAGACCTTCGGTCAACATAAACCATGTGTATTTAGACAGTATAGAAAGGGATGCTTCTTCTAAAAAGGGAAGCTTAGTGGAGATTAGGAATTTAGAAGACTTGGAGTCATCAGAATCCTCTCAAATATCATTTTTAAATTTCACCCTTTTTTTTTCAGTCAGTGAATGAATTCAACTTACGCTGAATTTCCATATGTTGAGACTCTGGATCTGGTTTTTGAATTTATCAAGTGTGTTAACTACAAGAGTTACAACTTGCTTTAGAGAATTTATTGTAACTCTCTGGTTGGCTCTTTCACTGACTTGACACCAAACCTTAAAATCTTGAACTTATCATTTTTTCCTTTAAGTTCTCTAGAGCAGTGATATGCAGAAAGCTGATTCTGTCACAATATTGTAGTTCATATCTCTCAGCTTGTCATAAATGGGCTTTCAATGGGCCTGTCATTCAAAAGAACTGCAGGTAGTAATTTTGGCAAATGTTTTACCACTGCATCTCATGGACTAACATGGTTCCATTCTCTAGTATTCCCTGGATTACTGGTTTCTTCAAATACACCTCGCTGAAATAACTAATCTAATATTCTTATTTTGGGGGGATTTATTGTAGCCCTGTTCAATAAAACTTTCTATGATGATCAACATTTTCTATTTTTATGCTGTCAAATAAGGTAGCCATTATCTATATGTAGCTATTGAAAAGTAGTAAGTGTGATGAAGGAACTGAATTTTAATTAAATTGATTTTAATTTAAAGTAGCACATAGAACTAGTGGCTACCAGATTGGACAGCACAGATTTATTGCTTGCAACCACTTCTGCAAATAATTAGTGAACTCATCACTTTTTAATTGTAGACAAAGACTCTTCTTTCTGTGATCAAGAGACTTTGAAGAGGTAGAGAATAGATTAAGGAACCTTGGAAAACCTGAATCAACAGACTCTAGACTGATGCCTCATAACAACAAAATTACTGTATAAGGGAACTGCTGCCTCTCTTTCTGGAAGCTCACCCATCAGAAATTTACTGCTGCTGGCTCTTGAACCACAAAACCAATGCCAAGTACCTATACTTACTCTTTTCTGTCCAAAAATATTTGAAAGACAAATCTAAGTCACATATCTACCCCCAGCTACAAGGGTTCCTTAAAGTAGATTTTTTTCACATTAAATATTATAAATATAGGATTCACACTTTTAGAACATTGTCAAAACTAGGGACAAGTATTCAAAAAATTTTGGGCAGCAATAGAGGGCAAATTTTCACTAGAGAATAAATCAATCATTTTCAGATACCTCCTATTGTTTTTCAGATCCTGGATAGTGTGTGTGTGTGTGTGTGTGTGTGTGTGTGTGTGTGTTTCTCTAGTGTCAATGCTGATTCAGCATTTGTCTTTATCTATCTAGATGAATTTGCATATTTGATGATACTGCTTCAATCCTCTATCACCCCAAACACTCAGCACCCTCCCACTAGTACCCACTACTCACAACCAAATCAATTTCATTAAAAGTAGTTGTTCATTTTGTATGCCTCTTTATTTACTTAGAATCCTATCAATGAAGTTTGAGTGCATCAACCACTTAAAACTGACATTTTTGTTATAAGTAGTTCTATGAAAGTGAAAAGTTACTGGGTCTTATTGGTAAATGTGAGAAACTCATCTAGTTGCTTTCAAAACACACCATATGATATCTTAATTCTGAAAACAGTCTTGCAAAAAAAAAGTGACTTATTTTCTTTCTTATTTTTATTTTGGACTGATTCAGGTTTTAAAACTTGATGGTAAGTAAATGGTAATCCAAAGGCATTGCCAAGTTAGGCAAATTCTTGGGTGGCTAACTTTATCCTATGTTTGTTTTTTCTTGTATAATTCTGTTGCCACTTGACATCAGCAAGACAGCGCAAACTATTTTTATCAGCAAATGAAGAACTTTTCAAGCTGGAAATTAGTATAAGGTGTTGATTTAGTTTTAAAAAAATATAAAATGTATGGTGTCAGGTGTCATTCTAAATTCCAATGTTATACATTCTGTAACACAGGGGAAAATTGCAGCATTATTATGAACACAAAATAGTGAGATTCATTTAACTGCAGTAATATAATGAAATAATCCTAGTAAAAATTCAAAAGCCTATAGAAAAGTTTCCCATTTCAGATTGTTAATTATTTTAATTTCTATTATAAGCCATTTAATACACCAAAATAAAATACTAACAAACTTTCTCTATGTGTCAAAACAGAAAATAGAGAATGTGTGCTGCTAAAGAAAGAAAAAGGATTTTTTTTTAGCACAAAGATATGAGATGATATCAAAATTCAATCTAGAAGATTACAAATCATTTCTTATCTCTTTCACTGTAGAGTGGAGACAGGGTTTTGAATATCAACTCTTGCAGATTAATGAACCATTATCTCATCTTTGTCTTAAAAAGACATTGAGATTTAACCCTTCTTGTCTCTTAATTCAGACTCCTACTAGTTTATCAACTAGAGGATATTTTGGAAGAGTGGGACTTTTATGCAATCATTGCCTCTCTACTCCACACTCTAGGGGAAACTGAAGGTATATGGGATGTAATGGGTCAGATAGTTTTGACAATATACACAAAAAGAATGTTGGCTTACTGCAATGGTTAAAATATTATTAATAACAAATAAAGCACATCTTGTCCCATACTGAAAATGAAGAATGTTGCCATACAGAATTATTATAATGTAGTTGACAAACAAAATAAATGATCATGAAAGACCAGTTACACTCCCAACACTGGGCTGGGTATACTCTAGTCACCATATTACCAGGTGAATACAAAACTGAGTATTTTTCTTACTCTAGAATTGCATTTCCATTATCATCACTGAATTGGGTTCTCATATTAAATAATTCGACCAAGGAGAATATTCACTGAAGCCTATTAACTCAAAGACAATAGACAAACACAACTACCTGAAAAGCAAAGGTTAAGAAATTCAGATAAATAAAATAACTCATTATCCTTCACTGTGTTTTTCTTCATATGAAAAATGTCAGAAATCCCAAATGTTGTTTAAATCTATAAACAAAGACATATTTTGCAATAAAGTTGCAGATTACTCAAATATTCCTTAAGGAAAATATTTATGGCACAGTCTCTCAAGCCAAAGAAATTGTTGACTTTGTCAAACGAGGAGTGTAACAAGATATTAAGTGTGATGAAGATTTAGCATTTATCCAGTTTAAAAAGAAGTGAAGAAATGTTGTATATATTGCCAGATTTGCTAAAAAATATACAAATCCTCTTCTTCCCCGCTTTATGCTATCATTGGTCTACTTACAACAAAAATGATGCATGGGGAAATTTATTTTTTTTTAAGGGAATCTCCTGACCTTAAGCTAAATGAAGGTTACTTGGGATTGAGGTCACCATGAAAAGTATGAACTGATATATCTGGAGTTTGGGGCACACATGGTCAGTGTTTTACTCTTGCCTGGAGCACCCTGAGAGTGAAAGCTATTTGGATTTGCTGCTAATGTCAAAGCAAGGAAACAATGTGGTCATGGGAACAGATTTGCACGTATATTAGTGGTGGGGAAAGGATGTGTGTTTCCATGGTTTTAGCCTATGCTGTGAATTGGAGCTGCAAGGCATCTTCAAATGCATCATGAGGCCAGGTAACAGTGCATTGCACAGGCTTCTAGTCAAGGTGGATAGTAAATGTTACGTGTTGCTCAGAATCTCTCTTTGGTACTGTACTCGTTACTGCAGCTCCTTGGAGTATTGCTTGCGTATGACTTATAGCTGATTGTTTCACCAGTAATTGCCATAGCCAAAGGAAGCAGCATGACTTAAGGGTTATGCCTTTCCCTATAAGTAGCTTGCATTCATTAACTGGTAAATTTTTTATGAACCAGAAAAAGAAATGTTGCATACATTACCAGACTTGCTAAAAGGTATTCAAATCCTCTTCTTCCCCTCTTTATACTATCATTGGTCTATTTAAGAGGAAAATGGTGCATGAGGAAATTTTTATTTTAAAGGAATCTCCTTACCTCAAACTAAATGAGGGTCACTTGGGATTGAGGTCACCATGAAAAGTATGACCTGAATGTCTGGAGTTTGGGGATCACATAGGTCAGTGTTTGACTCTTGCCTGGAATACCCTTAGTTTTTTATTAAGCAATTATCGAATTCAAGCCTGCAGGAACATAGATGGAGCTGGAGGCCATTATACTTAGCAAGCTAACTCAGGAAGAGGAAACCAAATACTGCATGTTCTCATAAGTGGGAGCTAAATGATGAGGATACATGGACACATAGAGGGGAACGATACACACCAAGACTTGTCAGAGGGTGGAGCATGAGAGGAGGATTAGAAACCCCATTCCTGGGGTGACACTGCTGCTTCATCTCTGTGTAACTAATGGGTAATGGCTTAATACCTGGGTGATGCAATAATCTGTACAACAAATCCCCATGACACACATTTATGTAACAAACCTGCACATCCTGCACATGTACTCCTGAACTTAAAATAAAAGCTAAAAAAATCTGGTGCATATGGGGACTCTTGGCTAAAAGAACTGGAAAGTGGGAGGCTTGAGACAGAGCCTGCAGTTAACGTTTATAAGCTGAGTAGTGCTTTTCAACTTTCAAAACTCTAAATATTCTTTTATATAAGTAAAAATTATGTAAAAGAAAAAGACCTACTTATTTGAAAAGAAAAAGCCTGTTTTAGAACCACTGCTAATAGTGCTCCAGGGCTGATCTGCTCTGGCTGAAAGAGGTTACAGCAATGGAACTAACTATGAAACACATTTAAAACATGAACGACTTTACAACTACGACTGGACTGGTTTAGCTTTGATATCTACATGCCAGGGACTGAAAATGCAAATGAAATTGAAAACCTAACATGGTTCATAATATTACACCAAAACAAATTAAACATTTTAAAGATGCCATTAATTCATAACTATATATAATGATTTTTATTATGTTAATATGCATATAATCTATTTGAATATATTAAATAATGTCAGCTACAATTTAGAAATAGATGTCAGTATAGACAAATCATGAAAAATTAACATTTCTAATTATGTAATTGCACACATTTTAATACGATGCATTTTAAACATATTCATTTTTACTTTTCATAAAATTAACAGAACAACAATTGTTTCCTGATAAGGTAGGGAAACAAAACCCAGCCTGAAACTTGTATATTGGCACACTTCATTATACTTTTGACTTTGATAACTTTGTTGTGGAATTTAGATATCATCTTGGCTTGGTATAGTAATATGTGGATGTAGTTTAACAATGCTTTAAAATATATGATTTTAGGTAATGTTTAGTTCTAGTTAAAATGGATTCTCTGAAGTCTAAAGGTTTTGCCACTACATATTCATTGCAAATAACTTTTCATATATAGAGGATCATACACCTTGGTTTGTCCCACTGCCTTTCTCTTTGACCAGCCTGATTATTAATGTCAACTCTTTAAACTCATAATAGCATCTTGGTTCAAATAATAAATTACATTGTCACCCCACTTCTCTGTCAGTTGGGGAGTAATTCAAAAGTACAAAAGAGAGTTCAAGTTCTAAAATAGATATCAATTTATATTTTTTTGACTATTCCAGAATATAATAAAGTGATGGGTATACTTCTGTTTCCTTTTCCATTCTCCTCATAGCAATTAAGACACTTAAACTTAAGTCAGGGAGAGTTTGGGCTGAGACTCTGCAGGTGAACTAATCTGTGTCTTCAGAAAAGACTCCATGTTCTGGACAACCCTGGATCTTGTACAATGCTTTCTTACTGCTGATGTCACTGTGGGCATTTGTTTACGGATATATCTTTTTACCATAAGGTATACTCTTGGTAGTGTGTAGTACCCTTCACTGTAGACCACTGTATTCCCTAATGCTTACCCCTGTGCTTCTACACAGTTGTTGCCAAACTGAAGCCAGACTATTTAAAAAAAATCAGCTAAATGACTCTTCTATTTTAACGTCAAATAATTGATTTGAATGCTTTTTCACTGACCAGGTAATCTTGTTTTTTTTTTTTTTTTTTTTTTTTTTTTTTTTTTTTTTTTTTTTTTT